CTTTTTGCTTAGTATTGCTTTGGCTATTGGACTCTTTTTTGGTTCCATATGAATTTTAGAATAGTTTTTTTCTAATTCTGTGAAGAATGTCATTGGTAGTTTGATAGGAATAGTATTGAATCTATGAATTGCTTTGGGTAGTATGAACATTTTAACAATATTGATTCTTCCTATCACTAGCATGGAATGTTTTTCCATTTGTGTCACCTCTGATTTATTGGAGCAATATTTTGTAATTCTTGTTGTAGAGATCTTTCACCTCTCTGGTTAACTGTATTTCTAGGTATTTTACTTTTTTTGTTTGTTTGTTTTTGCTATAATGAATGGAATTGCAGTCTCAACTTGGCACTCAGCTTGGATGTTGTTGGGTATAGATATTTTCCAAGTTGCTTGTTTTCTAGCCCTGTCTTTCAAGGATGCCAGTGAAGCATAGATTTAATCTCTTTACATAATCCCATATTTATCAGAGGCTTTGTTCATTCTTTTTTCCTTATTTTTGTCTCAGTTAATTTGGAAAACCAGCCCTCAACCTGTGAGATTCTTTTCTCAGCTTGTTCTTTTCTGCTGTTAATACCTGCAATTGTATTATGAAATTCTTAGAGTGAGTTTTGCAGTGCTATCCGATCAGTTTGATTCTTTCTTAAAATGGCCTTTGTCTTTCAACTCCTGTATCATCTTATTGTATTCTTTAGATTTCTTGGATTAGGTTTCGTGTTTCTCCTGAATTTGGATGATTTTCATTGCTATCTCTATTCTGAATTCTATTTCATCCTGGTTAAGAACCACTGCTGGGGAACTAGTATAGTTGTTTGGAGGTAAGAAGACACTCCAGCTTTTTGAGTTGCCGGAGTTCTTGCACTGGTTCTTTCTCACCTGTATGGACTGATGTTCTTTTAATGTTGGAAGCTGCTGTCTTTCGGATGGGTGTTTTTGCTTTTATCTTCTTTGATGCCCATGGAAGTTTGACTGTAGGTTCAGTTGACTGGCCTTACTTCTGGAAGATTTCAGGGGGCCCAGGCTCAGCTCAGAACTCCTGGACTGTATGGCATACCCCCCACTGGGGGGGTAGAGTTAGAGGACATGGTTTTGCATGCCCCCGGCTTTGTTCTCTGGCCCTTCGAGGTTAGAAATCTGTTGCATTGGAGGTGTGGAGGTGTTCCTAGTCCCACTGGCCACGTACTCCAATGGGGGGTGCTGGCCAAAGCGCTTCATTAGGGTGGTGGCAGTGGGATCTGTGCTTGCTCATGAATGCCAGCAGCCATGATGGCATGGTGGGGTGCTTGTGCATTGGCTGGGGCAGGGCACTGGTGGGAGCCCTTTGTTTTCACAAGTGTTACCTTTGTTTTCACAGGTGCTGTATACTGGCTAAATATGTTGGTGTTGTGTTGTGGGCTGTGATCCAATAAGTAGTGTTTAAGAGTATTAGCTGGCAGATAGGCTCTTAACTCTGCCGCACGACTTACCTGTGCTTTGGCATCGTTGGCAGTAGTGCTCTGGGGTGAGAAGGGAGAGTGATGACCCTCTCCCATAGTCAGCTCTTGGGTCTTGGAAGAGCCCCCTTCGACTGGCTCTGTGCCTGTGTTTCTTTGGTTGGATGTTCTGGACCATGGGACTGTTTTAAGCAGGGGCCATGGTTGACAGACAGGCCATATACTTGCCAGGTCAACCCTGCAGCAAGAATTATACTCTGCCCCTCCACTGGCTTACAAACCCAGGCATCTCACCTCTCTCAGTGATCTGAGAGTGAGGCTTTTCTATTCTTAGGCATCACTGAAGCCTGCACTTCCTGCTTGGCTAGGAGCTGTGGAACTGGATATGGTCACCTATTCTGCCATCTGGGCACTTCCCAGGGGAACACAGGGTTGTGCCTGCCCACATAGTTGAGGCAGAAGTGAGACCACTTGACTGGGCACTCTAGCAGGCATGGCCTGTCTAGCTACCAGTAGCAGGGGTGAGTGGGAGTCACCTACCCTGCTGTCAGGGTGTTTCCTGGGGCAACAGGAAGCTGTGGCTGCCAGCTGAGTTCAGGCAGAAGTAGGACTGTTGGGCTGAAGGCTAGCACAGCGGAGTGAAGCAATCTTTCTGCTCCCAGGCAGGACCGTAGCCTTTACTGGGGATATGGTACTGGTGTCATTCTGTTCCAGGGTCCAAGGCCTATAGAAGTCCCCATGGACTTGAGAGTTGTTGCCGCAGAAACTCTGGGTGGCTCTCTGACGCAGTTTAGAAGTGTAGAGTGGGGCCCAAGGAACCAGGAGAATTCTCCCATTACCAGTCTTGCATGGGTCCCTGTGTACAATCCCCCAGGGAGCTCTCACTCATCCTTTCTCATACTGAGGAGCTTTTCCTGGCTCCGTGCTGATCCCAGATGGGCTGCTGCCCAGCTTTGCTCCTCTGCCCTCTGTGTCCCCTTGCTGCCTCGATGGATTCTAACATGGTTTCTTAGATGATTAGCTAGTAGGGTCAGTGTTCACCAGCCCTTTTGTTTCCTGTCTGTGAGAGCAGCACACATGAGCAGCTTCTAGTTCACCATCTTGACCCAAACCCCTTACTCTATTTTTAATTAAAGCTCAGTTTTAAATTATTTTACCCAACATTTTATATTTAAAAATATGTAAAGCTTCAGAAAAAATGCATGAGTAGTGTAATAACATCCATATCCACTTGCCTAGATTAATCAATTTTTAAATTATGGCAAAACGCACATAAGATAAAATTTACCATTTAGCCATTTTGAAGTGGATGGTTCAGTGGCATTAAGTACATTCACATTATTGTGCAACCATTGCCGTTATCCATCTTCAGAACTTTTTCATCTTTCCAAACTGAAATGCTATACCAATTAAACAGTGACTCTCCATTTCTTCCAATTCTTGATGATCATCATTTTATTTTCTGTCTCCGTGAATCTGACTACTCTAGGTGCTTTGTATAAGTGGAATAATACAATGTTTGTCCTTCTGTGACAGTCTTAATACACTTAGCATAATGCCTTCAAGGTTCATCCATGTTGTGGCATGTATCAGAATTTTATTCCTTTTTTTAAGGCTGAATAATATTGCATTGCATGTATGTACCACATTTTGTTTATCCATTCATCCATTAATGACATTTGAGTTGTTTACATATGTTAGCTATTGTAAATAATGCCACCATGAACAATGATGTACAACTGTCTGTTCAAGTCTCTGCTTCCAGTTCTTTTGGGCATATACCTAGAAGTGGAATTGCTGCATCATATAGTAATTCAATCATTAAATTTTTGAGGAGTGGCCATACTATTTTCCAAAGTGACTGTACTGTTTTACATTTCTATAAGCAATGGACAAAGTTTCCAATTTCTCCACATCCTTCCAACACTTATTGTTTATAATAGCTATCTAATGAGCATGAAGGTTCACCAGTTTTAAAACTTTATTACATCAAAGGATTCTTAAAATTCTGCAATTCCTGCCCTTTATTATTTTGGATCAATATATCAAAATGGTTTATATGTCCTTTCGTGTACTGTAGTTATTTTTCTTACCATTCATTCCATATTTTTTATATTACGATAAGCTTCACTTAGGTATTGGAGGATTGACAATTCCGAGATGATGTTAATTAGGTGATGTTCTGGTAAGCAATACTCAGTAAGTAGACTGAGTACTGGTCTATTTACTGAGTAAGTAGTACTCAGTAACATTGAGTAACATTGGTAACAATGGCAAAAATACAATGGTAACATTCATAGGAAGACAAATACTTTTCTTTTATCCTTATTGACAGTTGCTTCATTGAGTAGCATGCAGTTTTAACAGCAGAATTAAATGACATCTTTAAATTCTATTTCTGATTAACAATGGATTGTTTGTATAATTTTCCTGAAACAGGCTGACATGTGACCAAAGTAATCTTCTGAAAAGTATTTTAGAAGTAGTTGTGTGTCTTCTTTTATATATACCTAAATAAATTATTTACAGCAGATCCTGGATGATAGACTCTAGGGTTTATGATTGTGTCTTTTAAATTTAGTTATAAGATTTTGCCAGATACTCAAAAGGGAATTTCAGGATCCCTCATTATATCCTCAGATCTAGCGTCATAAAAGAAGTTGAGTAAAATTGGCTGTATTCTAAAGCCCCACTTCCTTCTGTCGATAAGTATAATGGGGTTAGATAAAGGCTGCTATGCTTTAAGATGTTGGTGAATAGCAATCAAACATACTGGTATTTGCCCCAGTCAATTTGTGCTAGGGCATTAGGTGATATAGCCATGTCTTTGAATAGAGTTTGTATTGCTTTTGTTAATACTTTTTAAAATTTTTGGCTTCCATGAAATGGCCTTCACTGTGTTCTAGAATTATATTTCTGTTCAATTGTGTATTTAATCACTATATTGTCCCTAAGCAAATAAAAGAAAATTTTCATCAGATCTTACCATAAACATAGAGATATGATCTTAGAGTTTTCTTAATACAGCTCATATAATTATTTATGTTCCATTTTCTTACCTTGACTGAAGATTTTAGCAGACAAGCCACTGACATTACATGATTTCTCATAACGTTGACATAATTTCTATGAAAGTTGATGTCAAGGTTATATTGTTTCACAATGACAAATATCTTTTAAAGTTTTGCCCTCAAGGATGGGAATATTGAAGTGTTGTTCCGTCTCTGATAAGGCTGGCATCGTTACTTCTCTTCATAGATACCATGGGCTTTAAAAAGAAGCTTGCAGATGAAACAACTTTTAATTTCATCATCTAATGAAAGGGAAAAGGATATTAATAAACAATTTAGAAATAAATGGATCAGAGATGGGGAATATGCCATATTTAAGGAGAGTACTTAACATTTAATCTCTCTTTTCTTTAATGTTAAACTTACAATATCCAGTTATAAGGAAGTTAGCACTAGTCAAAAATATACATTTTAATAATTCAAAAACTCCTTTGATTTCATTTAAAGTCATACTGTTCAAATTTCTAGAACTAACTCATTTTGTGTTTGCTGTGGTTAGATGTAGTGTCTACCCCTTGGACTGCAGAACTTGGAGGTGATCAGCTGAGAACCATGACCTATACTATAGTCCTTAATAATCCACTTACTGGAAAATGCACTGCTGCCACTGAAAAGCAGGTACGTCTGCTTTGTCAGCATTCAGAAGAGTCATGTGTGGGGAAAGAGAGAAGACGCCTATTCTAGTTCAACACTTTACAAGACAATTTCAATAAACAAATGGCAAGAAAAAAGGGAGGTTAAAAGAGTTTACAGGTTAAAAGAGACTTAAAAGGCATGTGAGTCATATCCACCCACTCCTAATTCAAACAAACCAATTGTTAGAAGGTATTTATGAGATTTCAGGAATTGTTCCTTTTTTTATGTATAGTAATGGTATTCAGCTGTGTTTTAAAGAAAATAATATTTATTTTAAAAGAGATATATGGAAGAATCTATAAAGTGATATAGTGAAGTATTTACGGATGACGTGATATTGATGTCTAAGATTTCCTTTAAAAGTCATCTAACCAGGCAGAGCATTGGTGGTAGAGGCAGGGAATATGGAGGGAGGACAAAGGAAGCAAAACTGGGCAGAAGTTAGTGTTGCTTCATTTCTACTCTTTCATGTGTTCAGAATGTTTCATTGTAAATGATTTTTTTAAAAGAATACCAGGCCAGTTGTGGTGGCTCATCCCTGAAATACTAGTGCTTTGAGAGGCCCAGATGGGAGGATCACTTGAGACCAGGAGTTTGAGATCAGACTGCGCAATGCAGTGGCACTTTGTCTTTACAAAAAGTAAAATTAACCAGGCATGGTGGTGCGTGCCTGTAGTCCTACCTACTTGGGAGGCTGAGGCAGGAGGATCACTTGAGCCCAGGAGTTTGAGGTTACAGTGAGCTGTGATCTAGCCACTGTACTCCAGCCTAGGCAACAGAGCTAGACCCTGTCAAAAAGAAGAAATAAAGAAAGAAAGAGAGAGAGAGGGAAGAAAGGGAAAAAAGGGAGGAAGGGAGGAAGGAAGGAAGAAAGGGGAACACTACTGAAATCTAGTGTACAGAATTGTGTCAAGAGTTAGGGCCAAATAACTAGATTCCTGCTTTGACACATGGGAAGAGATTGAGTTTTTGAAATTAAATAATGTACGAGCTATTTAATGCTCCACTTCTGTGACCAGAGGGGTACTGTCATACAGTGGAGTGTGTGTTTTAATCAATTTGTGTTGCAGTATATGATTTGCAGGTAGTCTGAAAACATCTCTTAACGTCTGAACCTGTTGTGCTCTTGTGGTTTTGTCCATTAGCATTAAAAAGAATGTATTTCCATACCTTTAAAAAATTATTATTATTTTTTGACTCAGAATCTTGTTCTGTTGCCCAGGCTAGAGTGCAGTGGTGCAATCTCAGCTCACTGCAACCTCCACCTCCGGGGTTCAAGCGATTCTCCTGCCTCATCCTCCTGAGTAGCTGGGACTACAGGTGCATGCCACCATGCCCAGCTAATTTTTGTATTTTTAGTAGAGATGAGGTTTCACTATGTTGGCCAAGATGGTCTTGATCTCTTGAACTTGTGATCCACCTGCCTTGGCCTCCCAAAGTGCTGAGATTACAGGCATGAGCCACCTCGCCTGGCCAAAAAAATTATTAAAACATTGTCAAACTTAAGAAAAGTTTGGTATTTTGGTATTGGGGAGTCTTCGAAAACTTTGGAAACCTGCACCCCTCCTCTGCCCTACCTTAGAGGATAGGTAGTAAAGTTATGGTTAAAATAAGAAGGGTTTGGCCAATGACCATTTAAAATCCTGTTTAGGAAAAGCAGTGTTTTATTTGTTTACTGCCCTCCTTGACTTTTTTGGTGAAAGGTGGTTTTGTTGAGATTTCATTAATTTTGAGGTGGGGTCCTTACTTAATTCAATCGATTTTTGAATTGTTCAGCTAACGGGGACACATAAAACTCTATAAACTTATAAAACACATAAGAGATTATATGGTTTGTCCTCATGCCTAAAAGAAAAAATTAACTTGACAATGAAATAAACAACAGAGAGGCAGCAAATACAGATTCTGTAAGTCCCTGTCTGCTTCTCTTTAAGAGACATGGTCTCACTCTGTTGCTCAGGCTGGAGTGCAGTGGTGCAACCACAAATCACTGCAGCCTCAAACTCCTGGGCTAAAGTGATCTTCCCACTTCATTCTCTCAAATAGCTGGGACTAAAGGCATGTGCCATCAAGCCCAGCTAATTTTGTTTTCTTTTGAGACAGAGTCTTGCTGTGTCTCCCAGGCTGGAGCACAGTGGGGCGATCTCGGCTCACTGAAATCTCTGTCTCCTGGGTTCAAGTGATTCTCTTGCCTCAGCTTCCCCCGAGTAGCTGGGATTACAGGCATGCACCACCACACCCAACTAATTTTTGTATTTTTAGTAGAGATGGAGTTTTGCCATGTTGGCCAGGCTGGTCTTTAACTCCTGGCCACAAGTGATCCACCCAAATCGGCTTCCCAAAGTGCTAGGATTACAGGTGTGAGCCACTGTGTCTGGCCTGATTTTTTATTTAAAAAATTTTTTTTTGGTAGAAGCTGGGTGTTTTTATATTGGCCAGGCTGGTCTTGAATTCCTGACCTCAAGCAATTCTCCCACTTCGGCCACCCAAAGCGCTGGGATTGCAGGCAGGAGCCACCACACCCAGCCCTCTTTTTCTCAATTTATAGACAACAGAGTCAGCATGTAGGCTTTTCTAGCTTCGTATATAGGTTTCTCATGTCTTTTGCAATTTTTGAGAAGGAATCCTAGTATACATGTTCTAAATTGGCAAGAAGATTCATATATTAACCATACACATACAAACATTTTTTAATCTTATTTTGGCAGACACTGTATAAAGAAAGTCGGGAAGCACAATTTTATTTGGTAGATTCAGAAGTACTGACACATGATGTCCCCTACCACGATTACTTCTATACCGTGAACAGATACTGTATCATCCGATCTTCAAAACAGAAATGCAGGCTCAGGTGAGCTGCTGTAAACGAGTATGTTAGGACAGGCCAGATTATGCCCTGGTAATTTATTCATCCTGAATTCTTAGTAGTAGCTTTATACAACAATTTTATTTCTTGCTCAAATTAAATTTCCAACAGTGATGAGCAAAGAAGTGGGGCTTCTTAGCTAAGGCCCCCGCTTGATGAAGGCTTTGACATCCGGAGCTACATGATCCAGACTATGTGTCGTTCAGCTACCACAGGAAGAGAAAGCTGTAGAACTGTGTTCACAATCCATTGACCAGAAGCAGTCTTGTGACCTTGTTTAACGGCAAAGGGGCTGGGAGTTTTGGGGGAGTGCACAGTGAGCAGTTATGGGCTCTGCTGCAGCAGGAAATGAGAATTGTTGGTGCATTACAGAGAGTGATGGGCCATCATGTATGTGGCCAAGTGGGGTTAATGCAGTTGCTTTCACCTAGTGTATGACCACTAGAGATTTTTTATACAAGGAATTTAGAAAATTTAGTAGACATTTGGAGCCTTTATTGCTATTTAGATAAGGAAAATTCAGGGCTTGAGAAAGGAAATAAGTAAAATGGCAAGTACTTAGGAGGAAAATGTGATGAAATTATTAGCAGCACACATTAATTTTTTATATAAAAGTTATCCATGAATACATTTTTAAATAATATTAATGACTTTGAATCCTTTTGACTTTCCACTGAATACAATCTTACATTTAATTATAACATGAATATAACTAAAGTCTGCTCTTCAAATAAATATTCTTTCCTTCTTATTCTGTTAGAGTTTCCACAGACTTGAAATACAGAAAACAACCATGGGGCCTTGTCAAATCTTTAATTGAGAAGAATTCCTGGAGTTCTTTGGAAGACTATTTCAAACAGCTTGGTTTGTAAATTTTTTTATTTATCTATTTTTGTGAATATGGCATTTATTAACAAAATAGGTTGGCTTTTCATTTGGATTCATAACAGGAAACTGGTTAATGATGCCGTGACGACTCCTGCTAAGGTGGTTCCCACTGTTCCACTTGCTCTGCCACTTAAGGAATTTCAAAACTCTTAATTTTCATTGGTCAAACAAATACTTATATAATGCTGATTTATTTATTTATTTATTTAGAGACAGAGGCTCCCTTTGTCATCCAGGCTGGAGTGCAGTGGTGCGATCTCTGCTCACTGCAACCTCCGCCTCCCAGGTTCAAGTGATTCTCCTGCCTCAACCTCCCAAGTAGCTGGAACTACAGGCGTGCACCACCACACCCAGCTAATTTTTCATTTTTAGTAGAGATGGGGCTTCAACATATTGGCCAGGCTGGTCTCGTCTTCCTCGGCCTCCCAAAGTGCTGGGATTACAGGCATGAGCCACCACGCCAGGCCATATATAACGCTTATTATATGTCAGACATATATAATAAAGTTCTATGTGCTTCACAAATATTAACTCATTTCATACTCAGAACAACTCTGGCATGTAGGTACAATTATTATTTTTAATTTTACTAAAAGAGGAAAATGAAACATAGAGAGGCTGACTTTTATCAAGATCACACAGTTAAGAGCTATTATATCCCTTTGCCTCTGTAAGGAACTAAGGAGTAAGCTCTGGGGAGATCTTGGGGCCACCTCCCTTATCAGATGTAGCTTTCCTGCGCTTATGCAGGCCAACTTGGCAATGGCAGTACGTACATGTATGGATTTGGTGGAGGTGGGTACTAGAGGCTGACTGGGGAAAACGATACAGTGGCTCTGTTTGGATATTTCTTAACATATACATTGATAAATATATATACACACATGTGTGTATATGTAAGTATGTGTGTGTATATATGCACACACAATACATGAGCATAATTTAAGTTTAGTTGAAGAAAAGCTGGTGGTCAGTCAACTCAAGGTAATTTAAGGCTTATCATCTAGTTTCGTGATAATTTTCCTTGACTTTCTTCTTTGTTTCATTATTAAATTATTCATCAAGAGCAGAGAAAATGAAATATTAGTTTGGCCACTGAATAAGTTTCTAATAAAAAAAATCTGGCAGAGGAAAAAGTTGAAACAAATGACAAAAATGAGGTTTTTAGGTTGTTTGCAGATTTTCTTTGCTAGTGTTTCCTTTCTTGCAGACCCTCACTGAAAATTAGAACTAGCATATGCTACTCCCTCCTGTAAGGTGGACAAGTACCATAATCTGTTTCGGAAATCTTTCTAATGATCTAGTGTAAGTGGGTAGCCTGTTGTTTCCATAGCTGAAGTCATTACATTAATATACATTAATACATTAATAACATAGCACATGGCAAATTTGCTCTGATGATCCTATCATATATTAATACACATTCTTCCTGGAATAATGAAACCTCTTTATGGGGTCATTGTGCTCTCTAAAGCTTTTCATTAAGTGTAAGATTTGAATCTAGGCCATAAGAACCTAAGGAATTTGTTAAAGAAAATTATCAAGGCTTAAACAAATGAACAAAAATAACCACCAAAAAACCTTGTATCTTATAGTTGAGGAGCTTTCCCCAGTATTTAAATATTCTTTTTTTTTTCTTAGAATCAGATTTGTTAATTGAAGAATCTATATTAAATCAGGCCATTGAAGACCCTGGGAAACTTACTGGCCTACGAAGGAGAAGGCGAACATTCAACCGAACAGCAGAAACGGTTCCTAAACCTTCTTCTCAGCATTCCTCTGGAGATGCGGGCTTAGGTGCCATAGATGATATTACAGGTAGTTGTCACCTGGTAAACAGAGATGAAAGGTTTTTACTTTAGTTATATGAAGCAGAATGTGCCTCTTGTTTGTAAGTCTTTCCTCTTATATTGATAATGTTTCTCAAACTCTGTGTTCCTTAAAGATAACTAATATCTAAGTATAAAGGAGCGGTTGCAAAATGGCAAGCATGTAACTGATATATTTTATTTGGCCCATGTAGCATTTTAAAAATTGGACATTAAATGTTTTTTTTTAATTTTATTTTATTTTTAAGATAGGGTCTTGCTGTTACCCATGTTGTAAGTGGCACAATCATGGCTCACTGTAACCTCGAGCTCCTAGGCTCAAGCAAACCTCCTTCCTCAGCCTCCCGAGTAGCTGAGACTATAGGTTAGCACCACCATATCTGGCTAAAATTGAACCTTTTCATATAACAACTCAATCTGACAGCCCAGCACCCAAATCCCTTCATGGGTGCAGTTGGTTGGAGCATAGTAGTAGCTGCCTTGTTAGATTGAATGTGCCCCAGCTTGCCACAGCACCCACCGCAATCACAACTCTGCCAACTTCAGAACCACTTTGCTCATTTATTTGCTGCCTAGCATTTATAAACATTCTATTTCTGTGTTTGAGTGTACTGCTCTCTTAATCCTTATATACTGTCAGGGCCAGCCCAGCAAAACTGCAAGATAAAATTTGACTTTTATTATTTCCATTCTCAATTTTGAACACATCTTACATTTAATAACTGTAACACCCTTCCTTTCAGAGGTATAAACCTGTCATAACTTCTCATCCTTTTACATTATCAGATCTTCTGTTGAGGCTTGTATCTTTGTGAGAATATGTTTATCTACTATTTAAGATTAATGGCTCTTTAATTTTGAAATTTAAAAGTTTGGGTAACAATAGGTTACAATGTTTTGTTTTTAAGGAGGGAAGCATTCTATGTAAGCCCAGTTAAATATTATTTGCAGAGACATTTGCTTATTGATATTAGTTTCTTAGCTATCAAGCATGTTGTATTGAATTGCTTATTTAATTGCAGAGTAAAGTGATTTGCAATATAGGACAAATTTTAAGGACTGCCATAAGTTTTCTCTTTGTAGATTTGTTTCATATTACTCAGGATGTCAGAAATTTTAAAAAGGGGTGCAGGAAATTTGCCCAAAATCACGTTGTCTTTACAAATAACTTTTAAAAATTTCTTTTTCAGTTCTTTTCAAATGAGTATTAAATTTTTGTCAGTTGTAATCACAATTCTCATTCTAATGCAGCCTTTTTCTTGTGACCTACAGGAAAGAAAGAGGAAATGGAAAGCTATAACATCACTATTATTGTGGTGATGAGTATTTTGTAAGTATGTGTTGTGAATGCTTATTTTGCTTGCATCTGCATTTATCTTTAGTTTCCAAAAAAATTTGAATGTATTTGTACGTTATTGCATAGAAATTGCCATTATTTGACTAATGCTGGCCTATAAAAGTAGCAATTTTATAGGTTTCAGAATTACAGCTTTATATATGATTTTTCAGAACTGGTAAATTTGAGAAAATACAAAGTACTCATTCAACAAATGTTTTTATTAGTTAATCTGATTAATTTCTACAGTCATCGGTTTTTATGGACAGTTTCATAAATTTAAAGGAAATATTTATATATACATGCTGGGGAAATCCAGTTAACACTATTTTATATGGGTCTTATGTAAATCTGCTGTACCTAAGAATTGCTTAGGGTGCTTGCTAAAATGCAGATTTCTTGACCCTTGTCTGAGAGATTGATTCAGTAGCTCTTGAGTAGGCATCAGGAATCAGTATTTGAAAACATATACCCAAGGTTATTCTGATGCAAGTGATATAAGCATTACATGGTGAAAAATACCGGGACAGTGTCTGAATCCACTCAGCCAGTCATATTTAGAATATTAATATTTACATGGCTCTATATGTATCTTGAGGCACTCTGATAGATTTAATTGAATTGGTTGTGACTTAGTGATATATTCTAGGTGATAATTTTTTGGATTGGAGCTTCAATATTAGCTTTTTTTCCCCCTAATTATAGATTTTAGAACATAGAAGATGTTTTTTGTTCCTTTGGGTTTTATGGAAGATTTTATATGCTCTGCTTAAATCAGTTTTCTATGACAGTTCTGAATAGCAAATATTATCAGTGTTCTTTTGCATTACTTCATAGAAAATGTTTACTCAAAAGTTGGAATATTAATCTCTATACTATTTCAATGCCATAATAATTTCAAAGATTGGATTTTCCTATTATCTTTTCCTTGAAAAAAATCTTGATGGGTAAAAGTGAATAAGGGCAAATCAATATTTTAATGAAAAAGTAGAGAGATATGATGCCACCTATATATTTGCATGTATATTTATAAGGTATGTAACCATTCTGCTGTGAAGGCTGGGTGCTGTGGCTCACACTTGTAATCCCAGCACTTTGAGAGGCTGAGGCGGGTGGATTGCGAGGTCAGGAGTTCAAGACCAGGTTGGCCAAGATGGTGAAATCCCATCTCTACTAAAAATACAAAAATAAGTTGGGTGTGGTGGTGGGTGTCTGTAATCCCAGCTATTCGGGAGGCTGAGGCAGAGAATTGCTTGAATCTGGGAGGTGAAGGTTGCAGAGAGCCAAGATTGCACCACTGCACTGCAGCCTGGGTGACAGAGTGAGACTCCCTCTCAAAAAAAAAAAAAAGAGGCTGCTGTGAAAACCATTCCATTAAGTTCATTTAGCATGTAACATTTTATATATGACACCATTAATGTATATTTGGGACTGGATACTTCCTTTGTCCAAGTTGAACTAGAATAATTTTTGCTGAATGGCAATTTTATTTTTTTGCTGGCTTCCACTGGGAATAAGAGGTACATCATGCTATACCTGAGATCAGCTACATATTGATCTTCATTTCCTTTTTTGAAAGGCAGCATTATGGGTGTATAATTGCCTGAGCCAAAGGCACCCAAAATAGATCCTAAAAGCTGATCTGGTAGATTTCTTTTTTTCTTTTTTTTTTTTGGAGACGGAGTTTCGCTACTGTTGTTACCCAGACTGGAGTGCAATGGCATGATCTCGGCTCACCGCAAACTCCGCCTTCTGGGTTCAAGCAATTCTCCTGCCTCAGCCACCCGAGTAGCTGGGACTACAGGTGCACACCACCATGCCCAGCTAATTTTTGTATTTTTAGTAGAGACGGGGTTTCACCTTGTTGACCAGGATGGTCTCGATCTCTTGACCTCGTGATCCACCCACCTCGGCCTCCCAAAGTGCTGGGATTATAGACGTGAGCCACCGCGCCCGGCTGATCTGGTAGATTTCTAAGCTGGTGGTCTCACATCAGCACTGACTAGGATTCCTAGCAGAGCAGGGAGATGTCAAAGACAACCCAAACCTGTGAGTTAGGGTTATTCGAGGACTTGTATTGTCACTCTAATTTCCTTCCATCTTTTCCCTCAATCTCCACTTAATACTTAACAGTAATTATTTCATATAATAAAATAGGGATAATTGATTTAAATAATAACACCTGGAAAACTGTCTAGACAATACTCATTTTTAACCCTTTGCATGTATATTCTGCATTAGCAATGCTTAGGTCTGGAAAAGTGTGGTTTAACCGGATATAATTTGCTCTGCCTAGTGTGTTGTTACTAGTTTTGTTGAACGTGACACTGTTTCTGAAGCTGTCAAAGATAGAACATGCTGCTCAGTCCTTTTACCGTCTCCACCTCCAAGAAGAGAAATCTTTAAAGTAAGTCTTTTTCTTCTGACCTGTATTCACCACATTATTTCAATAATTCTTTAGTTGCAGAAAATTTAATTTCGGTTTCAGAGCTTAAGGTCTGCTAACTGTCCTGAAGCCATAAACAGCCTGTTTTTTGTTTGTTTAATTTTGGGTTTTGTTTGCAAGTTTATGGGGCTCTGATGATTTCTGGAAACAGAAAAAAGATCAGAAACTCGATTTTGAAGACGATATTTTTCTTTCAGTTTAGCCTCTGAAATGGTGTCAGGAGCAGAAAATACTCAAACGAATAAAGATCAGGCCCAGCGTTTAAAGGGAGTGCTCCGAGACTCCATAGTGATGCTTGAAAAGGTAGGCAACTCTATGCTTCGCACCTGCATCCCAGTATGAGTCAGCTGCTCTTCTGCTTATGAGAGAATATCTACCCTACTATCATTGAAGAAATCCCCCTGCTAGAGGCATCTACCCCTGCCAGTCCCTATTAAGCAAGGGTATTATGTTTACTATGTAGTCACTTTTGTTTATTTAGTTAGAAAATAGGAGGATATAATATACACTGTTGTATATCCTCTTTTTTCAATTAGTAATATATTCTGAAGATGTTTCCATATCAGCATGTATACATCTACTTCATTTTTATTGATCCTTCTGAATAAAATTTGATGCCTAATATTAAGCTCTTTTTATCGGAATGGTAGCTATTATATACACTGTCCATTATTTTACATTTATCTGTTAACCATATATCTTGGAGATACTTGCATCTCAATATATAAATCACTCCCCCTTAACAGCTGCATAAGATTCAACTATATAAAATGTGCCATAATTATCTTACTAGTAGTTTTACCACTATTACCAATTATTTTTACTAGTATTTACAGGCATTTAATCCCCCAATTTTCTGCTTATAAATATCCTCTCAGAATCTTTATTCACATAGGCATTCCATTGATGAGGCCTTCTGATGGCTCCAGTCAGGTCCGCTGGCCCTCTACGCCTGGTGCACAGCTATCATCCTGGGTTCCTGTTGTCTGTGTCTTCTGTTTCCTGTATCCTGTGTTATCCTTTCTTAGTTTACTTCCTCCTTTTAATAGAGCATATCCAACAGTAGCTTCCTGAGAAAGAGAATTTGGAGGTAAATATTTTAAGAGTTCACCTCACTGAAAATTTCTCATTCTACCTTTTCTCTTGCTTACAAATGGTTTGGCTAAAACTTTGAAGGCATTGCTTCATTGTCTTTTGTTTCCAGTATTGCTATTGAGAATTCTAAGGCTTTTTATCACTCTTGATTTTTTTTTTTTTTTTGAGACGGAGTTTTGCTCTTGTTACCCAGGCTGGAGTGCAATGGCGTGATCTCGGCTCACCACAACCTCCACTTCCTGGGTTCAGGCAATTCTCCTGCCTCAGCCTCCTGAGTAGCCGGGATTACAGGCACGCGCCACCATGCCCAGCTAATTTTTTGTAATTTTAGTAGAGACAGGGTTTCACCATGTTGACCAGGTTGGTCTCGATCTCTTGACCTCGTGATCCACCCGCCTTGGCCTCCCAAAGTGCTGGGATTACAGGCGTGAGCCACCGTGCCCGGCCACTCTTGATTTTTTAATCTGGAAACTTAGGCCTACAGTTCTGGAAAATTTCTTGAGTCATATAGTTGATGATTTCCTCCCCTCGTTTTCTCTTTCTTGACTTTCTACAACGCCTGATATTGAGATGTCAGGCTTCTATTGGATGGTTGTGTAATATTCTTACCTTTTTTTTCTATCTCTTACTCTTTTTGTTCCACTTCTGGGAAATTTTATCAACTCTATCTTCACATTATTCTATTGAGATTTTCAGTTTTTGCTAATAAATTTTCAATTTCCAAGAGATTATTTTTCTGAATGATTTCTTTTCTTTGTAGTGTTGCAATCTCTCTTTTTTTTTTTTTTTTTTTTTTTGGTGGGGGGTGGTGGGGGAATCTCGCTCTGTCACCCAGTCTGGAGTATAGTGGCGCAATCTCAGCTCACTGCAACTTCTACCTCCCAGGTTCAAGTGATTCTCCCGTCTCAGCCTCCTGAGTAGCTGGGGTTTCAGATGTGTGCTACTGTGCCTGGCTAAGTTTTGTATTTTTAGTAGAGATGCGGTTTCACCATGTCGGCCAGGCTGGTCTGCAACTCCTGATCTTAGGTGATCTGCCCACCTCAGCCTCCCAAAATGTTAAGATTACAGGCAGGAGCCACGGCACCTGGCCATCTTTTTTAGTTTCATTTTTTTGAGACTCACTCAGTCTCACTCTGTCGCCCAGCTGGAGTGCAGTGGCATGAACATGGCTCACTGCAGCCTTAACCTTCTGGGCTCAAGCAAACCTCCTACCTCACCCTCCCGTAGCTGGGACTACAGGCATGAGCCACCATGCCCAGCTAATTTTTGCAGTTTTTGTAGAGACAAAGTTTTGCCATGTTGCCCAGGCTGGTCTCAAACTCCTGGGCTCAACAGCTGTCTGCCTTGGCCTCCCAAAGTGTTGGGATTGCAGGCATGAGCCACTGTGCCCAGCTATAATTATTATTTTTTAATGGCTACAATATCTTTATCTCTCTGAAGATATTATTGTTACATTTTTTTAAAATCTTCTTCTGGCATTCTAATTTTCCATGAAGATCTCCTCCCTCCCACCCCAATTTTATTTTCTGTCTTTAAGGTTAGAGAATTTTGTTAGTGTTTGGTGACCCTTGGTTACCTTCTTGTGTGGATCCCAAGCTCTGAACATATGGATTGGGCTGGTGTACCCCAAACTTCTCTGTCTATCTGGCTGGGCTCTTGGCCGAGAAATCCTGATTATCAGGACCTCTGGTCAGTTTCTACAGAGAAGACTCCTCTAGTCTCCCACCTGGTGGATTTAAGGCTGACTGCAGCATTTTAGGAGCTGAGCAGAAGAGGGATAGGGGAAGGAAAGGCAGAAAGGATGGTGTCAGGATTCAGTATATACATTTTCATGTATTATCCTTGTTTCTAGTATGTACTGCTATCCTTAACAATGCCTTGGCAGCCAGAGACCCTCTGTTGTATCCTGTACAGAAAATAAAATTCCAGACTTCTGCCTAGGTAGTAGGAAAGGTCAGATATCAAGAGTTTCGTAGGATCCTTCTTTTGGCCCTTCCTCTTTATTCTCACTTCCAGAGATTCCTGGTCATCAACACCTGAGCCTTTTGAGGATTCTTTGGGTTACTTTGGTTGGTTCTCAGCCTTTCCTACCATTACTTTAGGATTCAGCTTTTCCAGGCCTGCTAAGTCTTCCATCTGCTTTCCAGTTTCCCAAGTTGCATAGCTGTTTTCTCCTTTTCCGATCTCCTTGCCCTTATAGCTTTATGCCTTTTAAAAAATATCTTTATTAGTGGGGTTAAAGGAGCAAAGCTGGATGTGCATATTTATTCCCCTCTTAACTCCTCAACTCTCTCCTGCCTGGTGTTCTTCCTCCATGGTTCCCTCAACTAATATTGCTTGAGCTAAGGCCCCCAGTGACATCTGGCTTATAAAAAGAATGTACCTTTTTTCAGTTTTCATCCTACAGTGTCAGCATTGACAGAGCAAAACATTTCTTTCTTGAAATGTATCTAATCATGCTTTCTTTAAAGCCATTAAAAGAATCTTATTGTGATACAATTCACATACAATAAAATTTTTTCTTCATAAGGTTGGGCAACCATCATCACTATCTAATTCCAGAGCATTTTCATAAACTCACAAGAAAACCTGTACACATTAGCAGTTACTTCCCAGCCCTCACTCCCCTTGACTCCTGGCACTCACTGATCTACTTTCCATTACTATGGGTGTGCCTATTCTGGGCATGTCATCTAAATGGAATAATATAATATGTGGTCTTTAGAGACTGGCTTCTCCCACTTAGAAAAATGTAATACTAAATTTTGCTACTTAAAAACATCTCCTTTGCTGGGTGTGGTGGCTCACAATTGTAATCCTAGCACTTTGGGAGGCCAAGGTTGGGTGGGTGGATGGTCTGAGCTCAGGGGTTCAAGGCCAGCCTGGGCAACACGGTGAAACCCTGTCTCTACTAAAATACAAAAATTAGCTGGGCGTGGTGGCATGCACATGTAGTCCCAGCTACTTGTGAGGCTGAGGCAGGAGAACTGCTTGAACCCGGGAGGTGGAAGTTGCAGTGAGCCAAGATCGCACCACTGCACTCCAGCCTAGGCAACAGAGTGAGACCTGTCTCAAAAATAAATACATAAATAAATAAATAAAAATAAAAACATCTTCTCTGCCTGACATCTTCCTAGCCCAAATGCTCCAGGGCTTGTGTTAGATTCTCTTCCTTTCTCTGTTATTCTCCCTTCAGGTGATCTTATTCATGCCCCTAACTTTAAATAACCACATGTTACAATGACTCCTGTCTTAGTCCATTTATGCTGCTATAACAAAATCCCAGAGACTGGGTAATCTGTAAAGAACAGAAACTTACTGCTCACTGTTCTGGAAGCTGAGGAATCCAAGATTAAGGTGCTGGCAGGTTTGGTGTCCACATATATGGCGCCGTCTACATGTTCACACATGGCAGGGGGACTGAAGGACAAAAAAGGGGCCTAGTTAGTTCCCTGAAGCCCTTCTGTAAGGGCACGAATCCACTCATAAGAGTCCTCATGACCTAATCACCTCCCAGAGATTTTCTTAGAGAAATGAGATGTCCAAGTGTATTTTAACAACAAAAGTTACAAAATTCGGTGTCAAAGTGTTAAGTTGTAAGGACAATGCTTTGAGAGTTTAGGGGCAGAAAGATTGGGGAAAACTACAGGAAGAGTGATTATGAGTAAGTTTTAGATAGGTGAAGAACATGAGGATAAGGGCATGCAAAGGCACTGAAGCAAAACTTGAGTTGTTTAGGGGATCGTGAGGAGACCGCTGCAACTTCAGAAACCATTCAGGAAAACAAGTCTGTCACTTTGCTTAATTTGATTAATGGACTCTTGGGAGGTAGATTATGCAGTAGTAGGAGAAGTATAGTCTCCAGCAAATGGGAAGAACTGTATAGCAATCATACGGATAGATATCCTAAAGAATCAGGCATTTCTTAATTAAGGTGTTATTTGGGCATCAGAATAAACAAAACTATATTAAGTGTCACTGTAAATTCTGGGCATCAAAATTAGAAATTTTCTAATCTGATTAGAAAAATTAATCTGATTTTGAAAATTTTGTTTACAGCTGAAGAGCTCACTCATTATGCTTCAGAAAACATTTGATCTACTAAATAAGAATAAGACTGGCATGGCTGTTGAAAGCTAGTGATCTGAAGGACTAAAACCGCAGAGATACTTGGAACTGTAAGAAATACCTGGAAGAAAACTAGAGGATGAAGGATTTTGTCATATTGAGATTTCTAATACAAACATTTCTTTCAGTAACATTTATGATAATTAGTCTCTGCTGGCCTTAAGAATCCATCCTTTCACTTCTTATAGTTTTAAGCTGTGAATTTCTCTACTGAACCGTGAAATATGTTGTAGAACTGAATTTTTCTGATACAAAAAGAAAATGGCACACCCTGAGCTGCATGGTATGGTCTCATTTCTACAGTGAGGTTTGAAGTTTGATGCTTTGTTAGCACAGAATCAGTATATGTCCAATAGGCTGCTTTCATAACTGAGGTAAGTCCAAGAGGACAAAGAAGACAATATAAGAAGAAACCTTTAAGTCACTACTGATTTTAAAGGATCTATTTTCAGGCATATATCATAACATTTCCACATTTGTGTATTGTAAATATTATAATGTCTTCATTTATTCAGCATGCAAATTTAATAGTCAAACTTTTTGACTCTGCATATTGATGATGATTATCTGAAAGGGTCTTCTGCCATGTTGTATCTTTTTGTATCTTTATGAAGAGTTGTTTTTTTTTCCTTAAGGTAGCTATTAGAGGTGGGATTATCTTGCCTCCTTATGTAGGATACCAGCAGTCAAAAGGAAGAACCATCCTCTGAGTTTTCAAAACCAGAAGGTTGTGTTAACATCTGGGCATTTAGTGACACATCAAATGCATACTTGAACTAAGACAGGCTTAAGCTTAGCAGTCTTTCATGGTCGAAGTGACTCCTCTGGTTGAAGATAATTTGTGTATTTTCAGTAACCATGTATGGCTTCATTCTTTATGTATGTGTGTTACTTATTTTGGTTGGTAAATTAGAAGCCAGACACAAACTTTAGCTCTTTAATAAAAAGTTCTGGGGCACGTATTTCCCAATACAAGTGTACTGACTGAAGTTGTAACTCAGATAGAAGCTTTGCCTTTTTCATAATAAGTTGTTATGCATTATTGAAAATTTTGTCTCAATACCATGGGCTCATTAAAATAAGAACTTTGTAAACTGACTTGAAATCAGGTATTTTTTCAAGAGTTAGGGAAAGTTGAAGTGTTTTACTGTTTTGTCTCTTAAGTCCTTTCTCTGGGGAAAAAGCTATACATATAAAAATGTATATATATTCTGTTTCATAAATGTATAATGTATGTATATTATTACTGTTTGAACAACTAGTGCCTTTAATTAAATGTTTCATTTTTCTCCAGACTCACCAAAGCTGCATGGCCTTGTTAAAGTCATTTTTGAGACTCCTGTAGAGAATGAAAGTATTCACTGACTCCATTAGAGGGAAAATGGGTTTCTCTGGGTGAATTCCAACTAAGGTAACCTGGGAGTATCAGTGAACCTACCTGGGTTTGCTTTGTTCTGGTAAGGATTTATGTAGTGTCTGCCTGTGAGCATGAATGAGTGGATCATAAACTTGAAGCTTTCTCTGTTTTGTGACATTTCTCAAAGTCACAAAAATGATCGACAAGGTTTTTGTGATGTTTCTTTAAAAGTTGTACTTTATAACATACCTCAAGGAAGATTACCAAAGTAAGTTGCTTTATAAATTAAGGCTAAATTCGTACGGATGCAGAATTCAATTAATAAAATTGGAGCCTGTTATGTAAATTGCATATTAATAAAATACAAACTTTCTCAGTTGTAGTTTTTCTACTTAAAAACAAAACCAGAAAGCCCGCCGTAGTGAAACGAGTACATGGGCCTACACTCTTTAAAGAAATTTTGTGCAATAATAAAACCCAAAGAGAACTCTCATCTCAGGACAGTTTCATCTCAAATACGCAGGCGACTGGAACAAAAGTACTAGCGAGGCCTGCTGGTCTAATGCAAAGGCTACTAGCCAGAAATCATGAAAATGAACAGGTTGCTAAATGAACAGAACAGGCGGCCGTGATGGGCCTTTAAGAGAAGGTCAGCGAAATTGGGGGAGGTTCTTGGAGAACATTTTGCGGTTGGAGAGCTCCCCCACCGCCTGTTGCCGGCGTCTGAATGAAGGCTGGCCGCCACACGATCTCACGTAGTTCGGAAATCCTCCGGCTTCCCCGGTTTCCCGTATTTCCGTCTCCGCACCTCGCCCGCACCCCGGGGCTCCGGAGCCGGTTCCCAACGACTCGCCGCCCGCAGGCACCGGCGGGGCCGGGCTGCCGCCTCTGGGGCGGGGTGGGGCGGGGCTGGCCGGAGGTGCGGAACCCGCCTCCTGCCCCTGCTTCCAGGACGCGCTCGCGGGAGCCGATTCTCCCCTTCCGGGCGCCAGGGCCGCGGGCCAGGAGGAGGAGTCTCGCCCACGGGCTCCGTGGAGGGGCGGGTGGCGCACGTGCGGGCAGGCGGGGATCCCCGGCGCCGGGGGCGGGGCACCCGGAAGCGCGCGCGGACTTGGCGGCACCGAGCCGGCGGGCGGAGGGGCGGCTGGGACGGCGCGGGGAGGCGGGCGCGCCGCCGGGGCCGCGGCGGACTGTGGTCACAGGTGGGCGGCTGTAGTGAGGGCGCGGCCAAGCGGAGCCCGGTCCCCGAGACTCCTGCCGGCACGCCCGGGGCTCCACGTAGCGGAGATTGGGAGACGCGTCTGTGCCTCCGGAGAAGCCGACCCATCTCCCCTCCGCCTCTTTGGTTGCAGTTGCACCTCCGGCCAGAGGGCAGGTAACTTCCCTTCCAAGGTCATTCTCCCGGCGGGGTGGCGCGCGAGGCCCGCCCACGTCCTCCGGATTGGCGGGGGCGGTAGAGGCGCACCCCGCACGGGGCCGAACCAGCTGGGCTGGACGGCGACCCCTGAGCCCTGCCCGGGAGCCTGGTGGCATTCCCGGAGCCGGGTCCCCGGCCCCAGCCGCCGAGTGCGTCCGCCGGTGCCGGCGGGCATATGCTTCGCCTCTCTTTGCATTCCGGAGGCTGAGTTACCACCAGCGCCCAGGCTTGGAGCGGAGACCGCTCGGCCCTACCAGTCTGCACCCGCAGGTGAGCGCAACCGCCCGCGCCTCGGCTGTCCCGGACGCGTAGTCGGCTGTCGCCATAGGAACGGCTGGTGCCCAGACGGCGCCTGCCCTGGCTGGGAAGGGGTGGTGAAGGCAGCTCGGAGCTCCAAGAACCCTGGAGTCCCCTGTGTGGCCGAGCGGAGCCACAAAAGCCTGATGAAAACGGGACCCCCTCCCCCTTTCTTCTCATTTTTGATTGCTCAGGCGTTGGAGGTTAAGGAGAGAGAGGCGTGGACGTGTTTACAAGGTGTACGTTGTTTTCTTTCCACCTTTACCTTCTGAGGGCTTCTTACGCCCCATGGTGACAGGTGCAAATCATGACACACAAGGGCAGTATGAAGCCTGTGAAGAAAAAGAAAACCGAAGAACCTGAATTGGAGCCCCTGTGCTGCTGCGAGTACATAGACCGGAATGGGGAAAAGAACCACGTGGCTGCTTGTTTGTGTGATTGTCAAGATCTGGATGAAGGGTGTGATCGGTAAGAACAGAGCATTTCTTGATGCTGGCCCCGTCGCCCTTCTGACAACTGCCATGTGTACTTTCAGCCTAGCCACCCAGAATGCTAGAATTTGCTCTTGATTCTATTTTCAAGCATCTAAAATCAGAATTGGCTTCTATGTCAGGTGTGAGGATTTTATAAAGATGGATTACGCAGTAGTGCACAGCTGCCTGCTCTGTTTTATAGAATATTATTTTTCGTTTAAAGAGAGATGAGGGAGAGAACAGGCAGTTTAAAGGGATAGTAGGCAAGTTAATATAAAATAAAATGCAAGCCAGCAGAATCTGTAAGTTTAAAATGAACATTTTAGTTCCAAAAAGTTCCCACCTTCTCAGAGGTCTCAGTGTTTAGAGACTGAATCCTTGGGACTGGCCCACAGAGGGCCTTGTGGGTTGAAAGATCATTTTCCTGCTGTTAGTACTGGTCTTGCCCTTGTTTCTGAGGAGGAACTCCAGCCAGAAGGCCTGTGCCTCCCCTGGATTCACAGTTTTCTGCGTCGCTAGTAAAACTGTCTTGATTGATCATACTGTATTTGACTTTTATTTTCCTAGTGATGGAAATTACTATCCAAAAAGATAATTTTTAAACCTCACTGAAAAAATCTTGTGCTGGACAGTGAATAACCTGGTTTGTATCCATTTTCTGAATGATTTTATATTTATAAATTATTGTCGCATGGAAGACATAATGTGGGAAGAATAGGGATGTTGGAAACTTGCTTTTCACATTAATAATTACTTCTGGTTAAAAAAGTCATTGCAACTGCCAATTTGTTGACTTAGAGCTTGGTATATTCACATAGCCGTGAAAAGCATTCCCTGGGGTCTGCAGTCTAATACCAGCCTTGACTCCTAAAAACCCATAACTCCTTTGTAATTCTTACTTGACAGTGTCTCCTGTGTAGTCTTTCTTTTACAGATGTCTTTGAATATAGGTTCTTTAGATTTAGTCTAAAATCTATACTGAGAAAATAGAGCACTGCGCTAATGAATGGAGAAATGATGCTGTTTCCATAACCACCATCACTCAAGACCGCAGCTCTTCCATTAACCTTGCCGACTCTTCCTCCCTTTCAGCCTTTGAGACCTGGGCTGTTCCCTGAGGCGTCTCCTCTGTTCTTTCTATACCCCTCTCCTCTGTCTTTCCATTGTCCCTGCCTCTCTCTCTGATTCCCAACTAGATCAGAATGGGTATCTCCCACTCACCTCCAAGTTCTAGTCTTACCTTTAAATATTGTATAAAATCCAAGTTACCTTTTCTTAAACTCTACCTTTTCTTACTAGTCTGTCTTCATTTTTTTCAGGCTGCTATGATAAAATACTTTAGACTGGGTAATTTATAAACAATATACATCTGTTGCTCACGGTTCCAGAGGCTCAGAAATCCAAGATCAAGGAACTGGCAGATTCAGTGTCTGGTGAGGGCCCTTTTCCTCATAGTGAGATAGGGGCAAACAACAGAAGCCTAAGCACTGCCATCTTACCGAGAAGCCACCTGGGCCCTGGGCAGAGGTGTAATTCTCGGAACTGTTACTATACTGCAGTTCTCGGAGGTGTTAAGGGTAAACATTTCCACTGCTATCCCCCTCCCCTTGCAATAAACCACTCACTTTAGCTTCTGTACAGACAGCTTGCCTTGCACACCCCTGTGCCCCCCTGAACAAGGATGTGGTTTTGCAGCTTAAATGCCTTGCTTCCCCTGAGCTCGGGGCCACAGGTTGGAGAGACTTAAGTCCTCCGTGGCCGCCGGCAATAAAGACCCTGCAATTGGCATACTTTTGTCTTGGTGTTGAATATCCACTCACTCAGGTGCAACAATAGATGATACCTTGTTGGTGTGTCCTGACATGGCAGCAGGGGGTGAATAAGTTCATAGGGCTCTTTTATAAGGGCTCTAGTCCCATTCATGAGGGCTGTGCCTTCATGACCTAATTACCTCCTTAAGGTCTCCCCTCTGAATACTACTGCATTGGGAATGAAGTTTCAACATGCGAATTTTGGAGGGACACAGATACTTCCTGGCTCCCTAAAGTTTATGTCCTTCTCACATGCAAAATACATTCATTTCATCCCGATAGCCCCAAAAGTTTTAGCTCATCCCAGTGTCAATTCAGTAGTCAAAGTCCAAAGTCTGGTCTGATTATCATCATCCAAATCAAATATGGATGAGATTCAAGGTACAATTCAGCCTGAGACAAGTTCTCCTCCAGCTGTGAACCTGTGAAATCAAACAAGTTGGGTGCTTCCACAAAACATTGGTGGGACATGCATAGAATAGACATTCCCATTCCAAAAGGGAGCAACAGTAAGGAAGAAAGGAGTGTTAGTGCCCAGTTCTAACCCAGTGGGGCAAACAGTGTTAAGCCTTAATAAGGCTTGAGAATAATCTTGGACTTGATGTCCTGCCTTCTGGAAACACTGGGTTGGAGGTTGGGCCCCCAAGGCCCTCGGTATCCCTGCCACCACAGCTTTGTTTGACATAGCCCACACTGCAGCTGTCATGGGTTGGAGTCAACAACCCATGCTCTCCCAGGCTGGAGTTGCATGCTAGTGGTTCTACCAGTTTGGGCTTTTTGGAGGTGACCCTGTCCCCACAACTCCAAGTAGGCATTGCCTCAGTGGGCTCTCTCTGTAGTGGCCCCACCACACTCACAGCTCCACTGGGCAGTGCCCTAGTGGGGGCTCTCTGTGGTGGCTCCATCCCTGGGGCAGCACTCTGCCTTGGCTCTGAGGCTCGCTCTGCAGGGCATCCTTTGAAATCTAGGTGGAGGCAGGCAGGTCTCTACAGCTCCTGCACTCTGGATGGCTGTAGCATTGGCACCCTGTGAATGCCACAAAGGTTTACCACCTGTGCCCTTCAGAGGGGTGGCCTCTGTGGCTCATGGCATACCTACACCCAGTGGAGCCACACATGGAGCTGCCGTAGAGCATGCACCAGAGTGTAGGGAGCAGAGACTTCAGATGGCACTCAGCAGTACGTCCTGAGGCCCCATGGGTGCCCTGGGCCCGCCTATGGAACTGTTTGCCCTCAAAGCCCTGGCACTTCAGACTTGTGATGGGAACAGTAGCCTAAGGATCTTCAAATGTTTTCAGGGTCCTTTTTCCATTGTCTTGATGACTGGCACGGGGCTAATGCATACTGATCTCATCCATATCCTTGCTGTTCTCTCCCAAACATGCTTTCTCGTGTGTTGCAATATAGATAGGCTGAGAATTTTCCAAATCTTTGTTTTACTTCCATTTTGATTGTGAATTTTGTCTTTAAATTATTTCTCTTCTTGCATTTTACCATAAGCATTTATGAGAAGCCATGCAGCACCCTGAACACTTTGCTTAGAGATTGCTGCTGCCAGATACTCAGTTTTATCACTCTTGAGTTCTACTCTCTACAAAACAGTAGGACACAAATACAATTCTACTGAGTTCTTTGCCTCTTTATAAGTGGCAAGGATCACTTTTCTTCTGGTTTCCAATAGCAGGTTTGTCACTTCCATCTGAGATCTTGTGAAAATGGCTTTTAACTGTCCATATTTCTGCCAACCTTCTGTTCATTACCTCTTAGGGAAGCTCTAAGATTGAGGCTTTCTCTGCAGCTCTCCTCTTCTGAGCCCTCGCCGGAATCACCCTTGTTAGTATGTTCATACAGTGTAGGTTTTTTTCCCAGCATGTGCTTCCACACTCTTCAAACCTCCACCTATTACCCACTTCCACAGTTGTGTCCACATTTTTAGATATCTGTTATAGCAGCATCCCATTGATCAAGGCAGCAGCAGATTCAGTGTCTGGTGAGGTCTCGCACTCAGCTTCATAGTCGGTACCTTCTTGCTGTGTCCTCACATGGTAGAAGGGACAAACAGGCTCCCTTGGGTCTCTTGTTTGTCAGATGGAGTCTCGCTCTGTCACCCAGGCTGGAGTGCAGTGGTGCAATCTCGGCTCACTGCAACCTCTGCCTCCTGGATTCAAGCAATTCTTCTGCCTCAGCCTCCCGAGTGGCTGGGACTATAGGCGCATGCCACCACGCCTGGCTAATTTTTGTATTTTTAATAGAGATGGGGTTTCACCATATTGGCCAGGCTGGTCTCCAACTGCTGACCTCATGATCTGCCTGCCTTGGCCTCCCAAAGTGCGGGTCTCTTTTTTAGAGGCATTAATTCCATTCACGAGGGCTCTGCTCTCCTTACTTAATACCCTCCTAAAGGCCCATCTCTTAATACTCTTGCATTGGGAATTAGGTTTCAGCATATGCTATGTTCTCTATAAACATACAAAACATAGCATAGCCTAAGTGTGCAAATGTCATTCTCTTTGCCAAGTTCAGTCATTTGACTCACGCTAGTTTGTGCTCCATTCTCTCTGTAGCCCTGTCCTTGCTGGACTGGTCTACTCCCTGGGCTCATGCCAGGTGTGTGCTACACACACTTCTTTCCACTGGAAGGCCTTCCTGCCTCGCACTCCATTCATACAAATGCTAGCTGGACATCAAGGTTGAGCACAGAGCCCACCTTTTCCACAGAGACCCCTCTGATGACTCCACCCAGAAGTATTGACTCCCTGAGCACTGCTTATAATGTTTGATTACAAGAGTTCATTGATTATTGCTGTTTTGTCACTTACCTAATAGTTGTTGAATGCCCATGTTGTCCTCACAACTAGATCATGATTTTTGTTGATATTCTTGTGACCGTACAGGTAGGTCATAAGATGTAAACATACTTCCATTATGTGTCTGTACCTGTGTATTTGTTTAGGGGAAAAATAATCTTGTCCATTGTTTTTAAACATCTTGTTCCTATTTTTAAAAAAAGGCGTGAATCTGAAAAGCTTAGTTGAGTAGTAAGGAGGTAAAATGCTTGGTATTTGGTCCCTTTTATCATTTATCCTGCTGTTTGGCATTCGGTGTTCTGTAGCTTTTAATTCAACAAACCCACATAAAGTCCCTCCTCTTTGTGCTTTTTCTGAATAGATGGATTACATGTAAATCTTTACAGCCAGAGACTTGTGAAAGAATCATGGATACAGTTTCTGATCGCCTCCGAATTCCTTGGCTTAGGGGAGCCAAAAAAGTGAACATCAGCATCATCCCTCCACTTGTCCTGCTGCCTGTCTTTCTGCACGTGGCTTCCTGGCATTTCCTCCTGGGGGTGGTGGTTTTGACCTCCCTTCCTGTGCTGGCACTGTGGTACTACTACCTCACTCACAGAAGGAAAGAACAGACCCTGTTTTTCCTGAGCCTTGGACTGTTCTCACTGGGCTACATGTACTATGTGTTCCTGCAGGAAGTGGTCCCCAAAGGGCGTGTGGGGCCTGTTCAGCTGGCTGTTCTTACCTGCGGGTTATTTCTGATACTCTTAGCCTTGCACAGAGCCAAGAAGAATCCAGGCTACCTCAGCATTCCAGCAAGCAGTGACACATCTCTAAGCAGCGGCCAGCTGGAGTGCCTGAACAGAAAAGGGCAGGAGAAGACCAAAGGGTTCCCTGGGGCAGACACAGCAGGCAGTCTCAACAATCGCACAGTGAAGGATGACCCCAAGGGCTCTTCCAGGCTGCTGGCTGGAAGCCCCACCAAAGTGAAGGAGGACTGGTGTGCTAAGTGCCAGCTGGTGCGACCAGCCCGGGCGTGGCACTGCCGGATATGTGGCATCTGTGTGAGGAGAATGGATCATCATTGTGTCTGGTATGTTGGAAACATTTGGAGGCTTGGAAAGTGTAAATTCATGTAAAACTCTCTAGTTAGATTTGATCTTCCCTTGTGCGATCCCAAATTTCGCTCCTTCCCAGCTTTACACCTTGTAGATATTTGTGGGCTGTTGCGATGTTCCCACTTAGTCATCAGGTTTTCGAGTTTCACAAATTTAGTTCCTACAGTCATTTCCTGAAGGAGAATAACAGAAAACTTGGGTGTTTTTTTTTTCAACTTTCTTTTGCACTACTCCTCATTTATTTTCTCCTAATAGAGAAATATCTGTAGTTGAATGATTTTTTCTTAAAAAAATTGATCAGAAGCATTATAAGCATATTTCCCTGTGCTATTTGTTTCTGCACATAAAGCTAAAGAAAGTGTACCCCCATTTTTAGGTGACTCTTTTGTCCCCTTGCCATACGTACTTAACCGTTTTTGATGCTACCGATGATTTTCACTTAACATTATTGAATCGAGGCCCCACCAGAAAAACTCTGTAATTGGTTATTTGTGGAGAAATGGGCTTTTGTACCTCCCAGTTGGCCAGTAACAAACGAAGGTACCTAAGGCCCCGTAAAATATGAAGTGCAATGTTTAAAGATACTGTTGCAGCTTCATTAAATACATCTAAACTAAAGGGACTAAAATGAATTCAGGTATGAATACTGTAAGTAGCATGTTTGCAGGTTTATTGCTCTTCAGGCAGTCATGCTCAATGAATTATGCTTTTCGTGTCTATTCCGGTCCTGTAGTGTACCTCCTCCTCAGAAGGGGATGCAGGAGAGGGTAAGAGGCATCGGAGTGGGCCTCAAGTGCATGGCTCAAGTGCAGGGACAGCTCTTTCCTGGGTGCTTGTCTTTAGAAGTAAACAGGTGTTTTCATTTTTAGATATTCTGCTTCTGTGTCTTCCTGACTCTGTGTGTGTGTGTGTGTGTGTGTGTGTGTGTGTGTGTGTGTTGGCCCATTTACAACTGCTGGTTTGTAGAGGGCTCACCTAACAGCAGATCTGAGCCCAGCGGAGCATCCTGGTATGCAGGAGCTAGAAGGGACTCCCCATACATCCTGGCCTACAAATGGTCATGACACAGAACTATTTTTACCTGCTGAAGAGCCTGCATGTTATCAAGTTGTTTTTCCCCGCTACTGTGTTTCTAATCTCTTTGGATGTTTATATTACTCTTCGTGTATTTAACATGTATTTTCCCATAATCTGTAATACTTCCAGTTTAGCATTTTAAAATTTTCATAATTCTGTTTCTCTCCCTTCCTTAGCATGGTGAGGACAATGTTTGGTCTCCATAGCTGGGCAATAGACTTCATTTATTGGTATTTAGGAAGATTTGTTAGTCAGGTTCTGCTTTTTGCTTAGTCTTGTCCTGAAACCGACACTGTGATTCCACTTTGCAAAGAGCAGAGAATATAAGATAGTCCCTCAGTGTGCATGGTTTTGATTCCCTAAAATGGAAAAATAAGAGAACTTCTTAATACCTGGAATTTACGCTTGCCCTATTTTAAAAGCTTTCTTGTTTATTGTGTAAGTTATCTAGAGAACTCTTAAACATGTGTTTGCTTTTTTATTTCTCTATGCTGTTTTGAGGATAAATAGCTGCGTTGGAGAATCAAATCATCAAGCATTTATACTTGCCCTTTTGATCTTCTTGCTCACCTCGGTGTATGGGATCACACTGACCTTGGACACCATTTGTAGAGATAGAAGTGTCTTCACAGCTCTCTTCTATTGTCCTGGAGTTTATGCAAACTACAGGTGAGCTGTGGATACCACAGTATAAATGTCCCCCTGCATGTTGCCATTGACAGGGAATGCTGGGTATCCTATCACATAGGCCAGGCTGTGGGAATGCTGGGTATCCTTGAAATCGCCAACAAAATTATGCACTGGTGATGTATGTTTTTCTAGGGTGCTGTTTAAAGGATTGTTGACCTTTAAAAAGTGAAGAACTGGGGCTCTAAAACAGGACCCAGGCCTTCTCAGGGGCTTCCAGGGTCTAATGACCACTCTCTGATTCAAAGTAGCAACGATGAAACAAAAACAAAAACTAGCTGCCCCAGGGCACATATGTGCCTATTTTGTCATAACGATCAGGAACTTCCTCACTTCACCACCACTTTCTGATGCTTTTTAGCCCAGTCTTAATTTTTTGCTCCCGACCCTTTTGAGATGTGCTAGCATCTCTACCACCTTTCTTTTCTTTCTAACCTCTCTTGGTTTTTCCTGTTCTACTTTTCTTTCTGTTTTTCATCACCACTCATGATTACTGTGATATGTAGGTCAAAATTTCCTTAGGCCTCTTTATAGATTGTGAAGATTTCCAGGCCATGGCAAAAGCTGGGATTCTTCAGCTTCAGCACACTGCCCTCCCCTGAATGCCAGAACCTCCTTCTGCCCACGCTCTGTATTCCCTTCCCTTCATCATTGTCTCTGACATACGTGCTCTGTGGTGTCTATTATGGTTTAGTCCTTTTCTTCTCACTCTTCATTTTCAGAGCAGTCCTTGCTTTCTCTGCAAAGTATCCCTGTCCGGCATTTGTTTTTATTAGTCTGTGGACACATCTCCCCATTGTCATCCTAGAACCAGACACCTGTGGGCATTATTGGAATAGATTGGTCCTCCTCAGAATAAGTTTCCTTCGTCACTGTGTGGAGAGTATCTCCAGTGTGTGAAATTCTCCGCTAACGCTGCAGGTGAGGCCTGTCCTGAAGGACAGCATGTGTGTTTGCACTTGGTAGGGACACGAGTGAACCAAGGAACGCAGTCCTGCCATTGCTTCTCACCCTGCTCTCTGCAGGTGATTCACATCATCTTTTTGGTGAGGTCCTTGGATTTAATAATCTCTGAGGTCCCTTCAGCTTTACAAATGAAGATTCTGAATGAACTTATTTCTGACTAACTCTTCATTCGTGAATGTTTGAAAATCATCAAATGGCAGGAGCTGACCGGCAGCCTGTCTCATTAGTGAGCCTGAAAGGAGCTTCCCTGCCCTTTGCATTGTGTGTGATTGCGTTGGGCTTTAGGAGGGTGGATTTGGAATGTTATGGAATTCCTACGTCCAAGTAAGCACAGGGCTGCAGATGCTGGGAGTCGTCGTTGTCTTTGCATTCCTCAGCACTGGACTGGAAAGAATGGAGGTGTGCAACTTCAGCACTGTTCCTAGGCATCCACCTGCAGCTTCCTAGGGGACATTTATAGCAATCCCTGTCTGCCTTTGTTTTCTCATGAGTTAAATATAATTTGCAGATTATTTTTTCATTTAACAAACAGGTGTTGAAGACTATTGTGCCAGGCACTGTGCTGGTTGGGTGGCAGATACAAAATGCAAAAAACAATTCCTACTATTCTAGTGTAATATACTAGAAAACAGGCACCAGGAGTTACAGAATAAAACAGAACATGCGCATTCTCCTACCTAAGCAGGTGTTGGCATTCTGAGTATCTTCCAGTTCCGAGGATTGGGGAAGATGCCAGAGTCTTTAGTAATAAGTAAAAAAATGTGTAAAATGTGAGAATAATGACAGCTTTCTGAATGTGACGAAAGCGGCAGCCCTGACGGCCTTTTCCCCTCTCCCAGCTCGGCTCTGTCCTTCACCTGCGTGTGGTACTCTGTGATCGTCACAGCAGGCATGGCCTACATCTTCCTGATCCAGCTGATTAACATCAGCTACAACGTGACCGAGCGGGAAGTCCAGCAGGCCCTCCGACAGAAGACTGGGCGCCGGCTCCTGTGCGGGCTCATCGTGGACACAGGCCAGTACAACAGGGGCTTCCTGCGGAACTGGCACCAGTTCTCCACGCTGGGCACACGTGCAATCCACCACCCTGCTGAGGACATTGTCTGAAGTGCCTTTTGAGTGGCTCCCTGAGGGATGATGGCTCCTCCCTCCATCTCCCCTCCGTTTTACACTTCAGTGTCCATTTTTATCCCCGGTTTCTTAAAGGCATTATAGGGCCATGCTCAGGTTTAGAGACTGGAGTGGGAAGAAGTTAATTTTTCTGACAACACAACTTAGGAGACTTTTATACTGAAGCAGTAAAAGTAGAGCCATTCCTTTCCAGTCACCTTATTAATTGACTCAATAGCCTGAACTTGAGAAGGATGTGGATTGCTAATGCACAAATTGATAGAAGCAATTCCCATGATTAGTATGGGGGAAAGAGTTTTGGATTAGGATAGTTTCTAGTCCCTCTTTCGATTCTTAATAGCCATGTGACCCCTAGTTGAGTCACTTTTCCAAGTCTCAGGGTCATCCGTAAAGTGGGATACTGATGTCCGCTGTGGCTGCTTCACAGAGCCGTCAGGGTCACGTGAGGGATGATGGGTATGGAAAGCAGTGAAAAACAACTCGAGCACCATGGAAATAATGAAGTATTAGGAAAATATTATGACTGAAAAATGGGAGTTAGAATCTTGAAGCCACTGTTGTTAGCCTTGGGGTTTCAGCCCTATACCATGTTGTACAGTTGTAAGAATTTCTCCTTTTTAAGTGTTAGACATGAACTACTCAGAGTAGAAGATGACCCGATGGATTGATGCTAAGTTGTCTCATCTTGAAAGGACAGTTGACAACAGTTATAATTATTGCTAGTGTAATGTACAGTGGCCATGAGTTTAGGTGATGAGTTGTTCTATTTATTTTTTATATATTCTGCTTGGGTTTCTTATAAGTAACCCCAGTAGGCATTCATGTGTTTTTCCTCTTTCTGTGTTTCACTGGGTAAGGTGCTCGCACGCTTGTGACTGTGACTGGAAGAGGAGAACAGACACTCCTGTGGGGACACTTTACTCTCTTTTCTGGTAGGAAGGCTGAGTAGCATCAAGGGCTCGATTATTTTCTTCGTGTATTTCAAATGCTGCCAGTTATAGCATTAAATTGTGAAAATCAGCCTTCTGGCATTCACATTATTCTGGTATGAACTTTGAGGAGCTGAGTGACATCTTCCCACTTAACTTGCACATTAATTCTCAATTACCCTCACCTAAATAACAGTATCTCACTAGGAGAGAAGAAACAGGGTATATATGGTTTCCACTGTTAATGAGTTACTGTTCTTCTCTGGCTCTTCCCACAATAACAAGTTGTTTCTTTAATCATATCTTAAAACTGAAAATGTATAAAAGATTAAATATTTATGTACAATGGGTTATTCTGCTATAGAATTAAGACAAGGGAATTTCAGATGAGGAAAATACCCTTTTGAAATGTTGGTTTTGTACGTGGACTGTTTCGCAATCCCAAAGAGAATTCATGACTCCTTACATTTGCCTTGGCTTATAGCTTAATACAGGGAAATACTGCCAGCGTTCTCAGTCATTCTGTGCATGCTGCTTTAAGCAAGAGATTTATATTTGTTGAGAGGAAATACTGCTACTTCCTGCAATTCCACCCTCTGCAGCTAGCACCATCGCTACTGTTGCCATTAATCGGAGCTGTCCTTAAGATGGTCACCATATTATTCAGGCTGTCGTCATTTTCCCCAGAGATGGTTTGTTTAACGAATGATAGGCTCTGTGCATGGGGGCGTTAGCAGACTCTGTGGTTTGTACAGTGATGCCTTCTCCCTGGCCCAGAGCTGAGTATTCACTTACAATTAAAGTTGGATTTGATATAACAAATTTCTTTACAGGTTTTAGATAAGAGAGATAGTGATAATGTCAAGGATAGCAAAAAAATTTCTTTGACATTTCTTTAATGTCAAAGAAATTGGTAGTTGTGCTTTTGAATGTCAGCTGTAGAGCCAACTCTAATTATCTAGCCATTGATAATACAAATTCATAGAAACATTAGTATAGTCAGTAATTTTAGCTTCTTGCCAAATTTTTCACAGTCTAAATGTGCTGTGATGAAGATGAGTAGTACAAAGAAACCAAAGTCATCTGGGAGAATTGGGAATGATTACCGTTTTTTAAACAACTTACCTCTAATAGGGTTACTTGGATGAGGCAACTCAGCTCTCCTCCATGGATGGGAGGACTCTCTCTGTATATTATTCAGGTTTATTGGCACAAAGATACTTGTTGTAAGTTCCTTGAGAATCTATGATGGGCAGTTTACAGAATGCTTAAACCTGTCAAAAGATCAGTGGTTTTGTGTGGGAAAAGATTTCCCAGGTGTCTGTACCAAAAGGAGCAGCAAACAAGGGGCTAATCCATGAGCAGTATTCTGTAGGCTCTGTGACATCCTTGGTCTGTAGGCTCTGTGACATCCTTGGTTTGTAGGACTTTGGAGCCTTTTATATCTAGAACTATTTGAGGGGTTTCAATGTAGGCCTTGGTTCTCTCCAGAGGCCAGATGAGTTTGAAAGTTGTTCATTATAGGCCTTGGTTCTCTCCAGAGGCCAGATGAGTTTGTGGAATCTTTGACAGGACAAGGCCTCTGAATGAATCAGTCCCAGGGAAGCATTCGGTGGTGGTGGCAGTGAAGGACTGCCTTGTGAACCTATAAATCAGCAGTCTCTTGGGCAGAGGAGCAGTCCCCTCGAACATAATTTCAAACAGGCAGGTCCTCTTGTCTCATCTTACGTCCTCAGTCTCTGTTAATGAACATACTGGATGTGGAATTTAATATATTATCTACTACAATCTGGCCACTTCGATTATTATCACCCACTGTGGACTGTTCCCGAGGGGAGAAGGATAGACCGATTTGAAAGATTGAAGGGAGAAAGAGGATCAGGACTGCATGAAAGAGGAAAATCATTCAATATTTAAAATGTTTCTTATGATACCCACAGAGTACTTTTACGGTTCTAGCTGAGCTTCCCTGAAATGAACTGACCATTAACAACTCCTCTTTGGTAGGTTACTGATGCTGCTCTAGTAAAACCTTAAGTGTGTTTTTGGGACAACGTGCTGCTTATTTCACCTCAGCCAAATATGTGTTTGTGTTTAGGATATTGTAAATCTTTGCTATCTAATAGTGTTTTCCTTGGTGAATGAAGTAATTGTTGTCTTCAGGTATACCATCTGCCTAGCAGAAAAATTGCTACAAACTTTCTCTTATGCAGTAGTCCTTGGTACCTCTAATATTTTTAGCAAGAGAAAATTTTCTATACTAGAATCTTCTACTGCCAGAAAACACAGTGCCAGTAAGGTTCTGCGTACTACTGACCATCTGCTTAACAGACAAGTATTTCTTTTGAGTAGGACATTAGCTTTTTATTATAGAGCTCAACTAATATAAGCAAAAATGTAACATTTAGAAGCACAGTTTTAGCCAGGATGTTTAAAAATTAAAGTTCTGTGAGATGTAAGGGTCTTTTTAACCTAGGTAAGTTTATGTGACCTAACTTCATTTTAGCCATATTCTGGTACCCTGCATTTTGAAAAGTAGAGTTTTCTCAAGCAAGGAATGGATGAGACTTTTCCTGAGGCATCTGTTTGGAATCTGGTTTTCTCAGCAACAGCTCAAGATATGCGCCCTTTTGTATGAAACACTGCAAAGGTGATGCAGAGGAGCAGGAAAGCCATGCTGAACTCACTACTGAGTACAATTCAGTATGTTCCTGTGGATGTTTGCTGTGACTAATGTACATTTCTTGCACAATCAGCTAAACTTAATTACGTTGCTGATAGACAAGCATCCACGCTTCAGCTGGCACTATTTCACTGTAGGATCAGCAGCAGGCTGAATGGTTAGTGGAGACAAATGTCTTTGAGGCTGCGGTGATGTCTGGGTTGGGCTTGTGACTTAGTGCCCTAGCTTTCCTGATGGCACCTTTCACTTCTAGAATTTATGCTTTAAAAGCAGAGCTAGTCTATTCTAGTTATTGATGCAACTAAAATTCTGTTATTTCTTCAGATGGAGCCACTGACAAGATGCCACATTATAGAGCCTGCAAGCCCAACTCGTGATCCTAATGATCTGAGTAGTAAGGGATTTTAGCTTTTCATTTTATTGTTTATCTGGGTTGGATGTTAGACTAAAAGGAAACGCAGGAATATTGACCTAATGTTACATTTCATATTTAATGTAACTGGCCTAGCAACATTAAGGGGGATTTCTGAAGCCAACTCCAGAGGCTGTGGGTTGAACATTTTGCACTGTTTTTATACTTGTATTCATATACTCTTATCACTGCAGACTCAGAGACAAGGCCTTTACATGGAAACTTTACAAATTACTGCCATTTATGTAAAATAATGTCCTGTGACCAACTTGTTTAAATGGAAAATAAAGTGCTTTATTTAAGGAAAATAGCTGGTGTTTCTTGGAGTATCTGCTGAAGTGTTTTGATTTATGAAAACCCTGCATTATACCTGTGCTGCCTCTTTAGCTACCTCGATGTCCCTATCCTATGGGCCTGTCCCCAGCTCTAAGCTTTCAAGTTCCTGGTGGCGATTTCTCCGGTTTTGAAGGTCAGGGATATTGCTTGTTGGGGTATTATGTTAGCAGTAACATTTCAAAGGATACCTTCGTGATAGTCCAGCAAGAAGCAGCATCAAAACTATTTCTGTTTTATCTCTTTAGAAGGCTCTGTATTAGGGAAAAAGTCTAGCTGGTCTGATTGGAATATGGGCTGCTAAAGACTCAATTTCTAGTTGATGTTTGAGGTGAGGCAAAAGTAAAAGCCAAGATAGAAAACTTGAGCTTTGTGGGATTTATTTAGGCTTCTTGGCATGTTTACTTAAAGAAGTCACCTTTCCTTATGTATAGGCTTGGCATTTAAAGAAAACTGGTGGCTGGGTGGTTCATGCCTGTAATCTCAGCACTTTGGAAGGCTGGATCACTTGAATCCAGGAGTTCAAGACTAGCCTGGGTAACATGGCGAAACTCCGTTTCTAAAAAAACAAGTTGGTTGGACATGTAATCCCTGCTATCTGAGAGGCTGAGGTCAAAGGATTGCCTGAGCCTGGGAGGTCCAGGCTTCAGTGAGCCATTATCAGGCTACTGTACTTCCAGCCTGAAGTACAGTGATATAGTGAGACCCTGTCTCAAACAAAATGAAACAAAAAGAAAAAACATATACAAAACAAAAAAATAATGAAACTGGTATTTTGTTTCCAGGTGCTAATATCAGCCAATATTTTGTAAATGTACCGTATTTAAGTATAAACTGATAGTGATTTTGATGGAAAGTTATGTATTATGAATTAGTTACATTTTCTTTAGTGGCCGTTAGTCTAGAAAAACAGGTTTTTTTTTTTGCGTGTGTGACAACTGCATAATCATATGAAGGAAAAGCTGTGTGGGAACAGACATATCATAGAAGAAATGAAGTTCAGTTCAAGGTGTTCTGTCACACCACGCATCCTCCATGATACAAAGATCTAAGTCACGGAGCAGGTGGTGTGGCTAGATATCCTTTCTAGGAAGTACGAGACAAAAACAGCAGTCACTTCAAAACACCATAGTTTTATTTTGCCAACTCAGATTTTCAGTACACCACTAACAGTAGTCACCTCAGGACTTCTCATTTTACCATATGCATTTATGGACTACTTGAATTTGTTAAACATGTATTTTATAATGAAATATTATTTTCCCAGCAGGTAATTCTCTAAGACAATTCACAGAAGACAGCATTTTATCAGTCTTTATAGCATCTTAAAGATGAAAACATTCTTTGAATTCAAGATAGGTACCTCAATATCTAGATCAAACTGAGCTGAGTACTGGAAGACAAATTGAGTGTATTATTCAGTTGCAGTTGGGAGCGTGAACAGATCATTTAATGAATTGCTGGACTGTTATGATACATTTATTACCTTTTGGAATTTCCTTCATGCTTATCAAGGTGTACTGAAGAGAAGTATCTCTGGTGCCTCAGTTTCTCTGAAGTCGGGATAAGCTACTATCCTCTGCAGCAGCTGTGTAGATAACCTCTTGATACATGGTCTGCCATTGGGGCTGGTTAAAATGGACAAGGTCTGGTAGGGTGCCTGTAACTGATGCTAATATACTAGAAGATTGACCACCTTGATCTTTCCTTTTCTAAGTACTCACTACTTTTTATTTATATTTAATTAAGGTCACATTTATCAGCAACTCATGTTAAGCTATATGGACACATTTGTCTTCACAGGCTCAGGCAGGCAAACACGTCCTTTTTAAAGTTTACTATGCTAAAAATATGTAGGATATATTTGAACAGAGGACCTCTAGAATGTTCCTTTGGATGATCCCACTGCGATAAATGCTATAGTGAATGACTAGCAGTCCAGGAAAAGTCAAAGAAGGGGATAAAAATTCTCAAAATAATTCCTTTGATCTAAGAAGTAGCTCAGAGAATAAACCAGGTATATATGTATGTGGGTGGGTGGGTGGGTGGAGATTAACACACACATTGCAGACCAGTTGAGGTTCCCATCCAAAGTATTACACTAAAGTGGTTCATTGGTTTACCAAAGACTTGTCTTATTCAAGGACCAAGTAAGTATCTGATTGCTGGTACAGCTCATAGTCACTTCCAGGTGCCTGGAAGTCTGGAAGGATTTCAGCTACCTTCCTACGAAGTTGCTGTCGCCTTTCTTCTCTTACTCTTTCCTCTTTCATAAATTTTACAAACTTCTTCCATGTCTGAAATGTGATCCAGAGGATTCTCCTTTATAAATAAAAAAGGAGAAAAGTGAAATGCTGAGAAAAAGTTGACTTTCAATCTATAGTGCATTAAGAACTTTATAAAAATAATTCTTATGTTAATAAAATGCTATATAAAAGGTGTGGAAATCACAATTGGGATTATGACAGTGTGAAATGCTATGAAGAAAATAAAGCAACAAAAGGGAGTGATAGTGACTGGCAGGTTATTTTTATTTGTATTTTATTTATTTTTTGAGGCAAGAGTCTTGCCATGTCGCCCAGGCTAGAGTGCAGTGGTGCAATCTTGGCTCACTGCAACCTCTGCCTCCTGGGTTCAAGTGATTCATGTGCCTCAGCTTCACAAGTAGCTGGGATTACAGGTGCCTGCCATCATGCCTGGCTAATTTATTTTTATTTCTTTTATTTTATTGGAGACAGGGTTTCACCATGTTGGCCAGGCTGGTCTTGAACTCCTGGCCTCAAGTGATCTGCCTGCCTCGGCCTCCCAAAGTGCTGGGATTATAGTTGTGAGCCACTGTGCCTAACCAGTTACTTTTATTTTTGATTGAGTGGTCAAGGAAACTGTCTGAGGAGGTGACATTTGAGCAGACCACCCAATGGCCTCCAGAAAGGCAAGCTACGAGGCACACTCCTGAGTTGGTCTGATTACAGCATACATATTGTGCCAGGACTAGTGATGCTGGCAAGGGATCCAGAAACCACAACCCTCAAGGCAAAAATGATGGAGAATTGCATGCAGAATGTGCCAAAGTTACAGGCATTGAGGCCTCAGTGCACAGACAGGTTTTAAAAGCCTGCTGGTAACCTCACCTCCAACAGCAGCAGCCACAAAGAACAAGTCTTGAATATCAGTTGAGGAAAAAAACACCCTAACATCAATTTCTGGAAACATGGTATGAGAAAAATATACCCTAACGTCAGGTTCTGGAAACATGGTATGGAAGATTCTTGTTAAAGCGAGTGTCTTTGCTGTCACAGGGAAGCATGCAATGGCCTTGTAGGATTTATTAGTGTCCACTACAGCCGAACACTAGGGGCATCAAGGTAAGCCAGGTACTGTTTGCTTCAGGAGAGGCTGAAACAGGTGGCCAGAGTTTCCATACAGTGAGAAAGTACAGCAGTGGAGAGCAGCACAGAGGACCGCCCAATCTGGTGGTGACCAGCAGATGTTTTTGAAGATGTCTGATCTGAATTTTTGTCAGGCAAAGAAAAGGCTTTCCTAGAGGAGAGCACATTCTAAGTAAAGGCAAAGAAACAAGAATAGCGTGACATAGTGTGGGTGTGTGGAGTTAGTGTTGAAACAAGGTGTAGAGTAGTTAAGTTTATATTTTCACAACTATAGGAAGAGATGGGATTTGTTCTGGCCTCTTGACCATCTGAGGAAGTCCCAGAATGCACATAAGTCCTCATTAATTTTATGGCTGTTGGTTGTGTAGTATTTTTGATAATGTTAATTTTTATTGGTGGAGGTATTGCTTTAAAAAAAAGGTGTGGCTGGGTGCAGTGGCTCACACCTGTAATCCCAGCACTTTGGGAGACAGAGTTGGGTGGTTGATTTGAGGTCAGGAGTACAAGACCAGCCTGGCCAACATGGTGAAACCCCATCTCTACTAAAAATACAAAAAATTAGCCCAGTATGGTGGCGGGTACCTGTAATCCCAGCTACTTGGGAGGCAGAGGCACGAGAATCACTTGAACCTGGGAGACGGAGGTTACAGTGAGCTGAGATCAAGCCACGGCACTCTAGCCTGGGTAACAGAGTGAGACACTGTCTCAGAAATAAAAAAAAGTTCCAAGGAATGGATTTGCTTCATGCTTGCTTTTATCCATTCAGTCCACTGAATGTATAAAATGTATCCATTGAAGTCCAAGAGACATTCAAGTTACTCTCTTCTGGCTATTTTGAAATATACAATAGATTATTATTAACTATAGTTAAACCCTACTGATCTATTGAACATTAGATCTTATTTCTTCTAACTATATTTCTTCATCGCCATCCCAACCTCTCTACCCTTTCCAGCCTGTGGTAACCACCAATTTATTCTCTGTGTTCATGAGATTCACATTTTTAGCTCTCCCACATGAGTAAGAACATGTAGCATTTGTCTTTCTGTACTTGTTTCACTTAACGTGGTGACCTTCAGTTCTATCCATGTTGTTGCAAATGACAGGATTTAATCATTTTTCATTACTGAGTCATCATTCGTAGTGTGTACACATTTTCTTTGTGCATTTATCCACTGACGGGTGCTTAGGCTGATTCCATATTTTGGCTATTGTGAACAGTGCCATAATAAACATGGGCATGCAAGTATCTCTGATATCTTGATTTCCTTTCTTTTGGAGATGTACCCATTAGTGGAATTGCTAGATCATATGGTAGTTCTAATTTAGTTTTTTCAGGAACCTCCATCCTGTTTTCCATAGTGGCTGTACTAATTTACATTCCCACCAACAGTGTATGAGCGTTTCCCTTTCTCCATATCTTCACTGCTGTAAGATGATAACGCATTGTGGTTTTGATTTGGATTTCTCTGATGATAAGTGATGTTGAACATTTTTTCATAGACTTTTTGGCCATTTGTGTGTCTTCTGAGAAATGTCTACTTAGATCTTCCCCCACCTTTTTTTCTTTTTTCTTTTCTTTTGGA